TTTCAAAATCATTTTAATTGCCATTTGGATCTGCTCCTTTACGACACAAAGTGAGACTCACCGGTCATCTGTCTAACTACGTGAAGAATGATTTCTACCAGGGACAAAGGATTCACCCTGAAATAAAAAACACCAGTCTATGATTGTCGTTAAGCATCAGTGTTTCATGTTTAAAGTCAAAAACCGACAAAGGTGTTTTACCTGTGTTCAAACTCACTGATGAAGTTTTCATAGAGCTGTGGAACCAGAACATGTAGAGTAATTACAGGATGTCTTTCATTCTGCAAAATCAAACGTGACCACCAGGCCCGCCACATGGCAGGCACTGCAGGAACGGTGGTGGAATGAGGAGACCCACATATGGGTTTATTAATCACCAACGGATTACTGAAGAAAGCTACAATTTTTTTTCCTGGTAATTAGACCCCTGACCTTTAAGAATCTCCTAGAGAGCAATTCCTATATTCTTTCTCCAAAGTATTTTAGGAAAACAGACTATCAGCTTGAAAGACTCAGTAACCTTCAGATTTTAGAGGGCTGCAGCCGATATGACCAAATTTATTAGCCATTTAGCAAACACTTGAGTACTTGCTCAGACTCTTTGCTAGATACTATAGACACAGGATATGTAAGATGAAAGTCTGGCGTTCAAGGATTCCTGACCTAACAGAGCAGACTTATAAACAAATAAATGACAGGACCATGAATTTACAATTGAAGGAGAAAACCCCACGTAGGTGGATCAACCAAAAGGAGAGTTTCCAGAGGTTATTCCAGAAATGGTGATAACTGAGTTTTAAGGAAGGAAGAACATTAGAGAGCTGGACAAATCCGGAGAGGAGGCATGGAGTTGGGAGAACATTCGGGACAGGAACAAACATGTGCAAGGCACTGAAGAAACCCTGCACCATGTTTCAGGAGCACTTCTGAAGGGCACAAACAGTGGGCGGTACTGGGGCTTTTCCTTGTCCTGAAGGTAAGCCCGAGTCCGTGGAAACACATGATCACACGTCTACTTTGTAAGCATGACTGCAGGCAGGGAGGGTAGGGTGGGGGGGGGAACAGACGGAGGGACAGACACCAGCCGAGGCTACTAGTCAAGACAGGAGAGTGAGGGAGTAACGGCAGTGAGGGCAGATGAAGGGTCCGAGAGATTCGCTGGTCACAGGGACGGGGAACAGACAACGACCTCTAACGACCTCTGAGGTTATCGCTGGGTAACTGGGCAAAATGGGAAGAGGAGCATCCAGATGGGTCAACTTGGGTAAGGAGAGTCTGCGATTCCTCTGCCACGTGAAGACAGAAAGAGGGAAACGTCCCAGTGAAAGAAAATGTGGTGTCTGTGCACACAGAGCGTGGGATGTTATTTAGCCATAAAAAGACAGCATGGATGTCACTGAAGGGCGTTCTGCTTAGTGAAGTCAGTCAGACAAAGAAGGATAAACACTGTGTGACTTACTTCCACGTGAAATCTAAAAAAACTGAACTCACAGATACAGAGAACAGATCGGTGGTCGCCAGAGGCAGGGGATGGGGGGTGCGAGAAACGGCTGCAGTGGTGAAAAGATACAAATGTCCTGTCATGAGATAGGTAAGTCCTAGAGACATACCACAGCAGTGACTATAGTGAACCACACTGTGCTGCGCATTTGAAAGTTACCACGAGAGTAGATCATAAAAGTCGTCATCACAGGAAGGAAGGAAGTCTGACTGTGAGATGGATGTTAACTAGACTTACTGTGACCATTTTGCACCCACACCCCCCCATCATCACACTGTACACTTTAAACTAATACAGCATTACACGTCAATTACTTCTCAAAAAAACTTGGGGGGCGGTTAGAAATGCCCCTAAAGCATCGGTTAGTTATTTAAATCTGGCAACCAGCACGGGACGCCGGGGTGGCTCAGTCGGTTAAGCGTCTGTCTTTGACTCAGGTCATGATCCCAAGGTCCCGGACTGAACCCCGCATCAGGCTCCCCGCAGAATGCAGAGCCTGTTTCTCCCTCACCCTCTGCCTGCCACTCCCCCTCCTTGTGCTCTCTCTGTCAAATACATAATCTGGTACCCAGCAGAGAGCCATCTAAATAAAATGGCTTTTTCATTACAAAGGACTATTTCAAAGGTATCTTTTTCAGTAAGAGAGCATTCTCAAGTTTTCTTTTTTTTTTTTAAGATTTTATTTATTTATTTGTCAGACAGAGATCACAAGTAGGCAGAGAGGAGGAAGCAGGCTCCCCGCTGAGCAGAGAGCCCAAGGAGGGGCTCGATCCCAGGACTCTGGGATCATGACCTGAGCCGAAGGCAGACGCTTAACCCACTGAGCCACCCAGGCGCCCCTCTCAACTTTCCTGATACCCATTATAATTCATGCAAAAATCCCTCCAAAGGTAAAAGAAACTCAAAATTACTACTGGTCACTTCAGATTCGTGAACACTATGTACTGAAAGTTCTGTGGGCCGAGTCTCACCAATTTTTAAAGGTTTGCTTGCCCACTGAAACAGTAAACACAGTCTGCTGACCTGCGTAAATGTTATGTTACATGGGGTTGAGGGAATGTTTTCTGGGTAGAAAGTGATTTAAAGACAAGAAAGCAAAGGACAGAGATGAAGAATCACGAATTATTCATCGCTATGACATAGAACCTTAGGGAACAAATATTAAGAGAGCTCTAATTTGTCATTTTCCCACATAATCCAGAAGACAGAATGCCCGGCAAAATCTTTAGGTTTACCGATGAATACTAGTTCCTTTGAAGTAGTAAAATGTCAAACTGGCGGGTATAAAACACAAGAAACTCTTAGGACCCCAGGTGTAAGCTTCACCGCGGGCACGTATAAAGTGCGTATCCAGGGCGAGTACCTCAAGCCGTCAAGAACTAGTGCTGGGCTCCGATGCAGGTATAAATCTGATTCACTCAGAATCTGAGAGAAAGGCATCAAAGAGTAAGAGGTTAAGAAAGATTTTAAAGAGGAAGCTACCAGTGATCAAACCGGGGGCGTCTGTCAGGGAGTACGGGGAAGGCCTGCGCGGAGAATTTTGTTTTTCTTCCCTGTTGACAAAATGCTGAAAGTGCTCACTACAGAGGATTCCCCCCTCCAGGCCTCCCCACCGCCAAGTGAAGCACAAAAGAGGCTCTACCTTCCACACCCCCCAAGACAAAGCATTCGGGCGAGCAAGCAGAAATCAGTGAGCGGAGGAGGAGTGATGACGGTCACCTGTAAGATTCCTCCACTGCCCCCCCCAACCCCCCGCCTGAATAGCAGTTTCCAAAAGTGCAGCACGAACAGTAAGACACAGGGCATCCTGGGCTAGAAGACAGCGCCTTAGGCAGCGACTTCAGAAGAAGCCAGACTGTACCTGAAGCTACTTGTGCCACCTACTAGCTGTGACCTGCGGCAAGTCACTCACTCTCTTGGTGTTGGCTTCCACATCACAGGAACAGGGAAACAGCAGGGCCACCTCCCATGCTGTTGGAAGGGTACAAGTGCAACACGGACACTGGCTGTGAGGAGCTGCAGTGTGTTGCTGGAAAGCCCACCTACTGGTTTTAAAAGTCCTTTACACTTACATCATCTGACCTGGTGTGGCAAATCATTTACCTTAATGAGGCCATCTCCTTGGGCAAAGCATGGGTCCTGCACAAAGTCAAGCACCTGGAGCGTCAGCTGATGCCACAACCTGAAAGAGATAAGGCCCTCAGACCCGCAAGCTAGTATCCGGTGGCAGACGCCCGGCCCTGACAGTCCTACCGAGCACCCAACAGTACCGCCCGCGTAACAGGAAGCAAGCCAGAGCGGGAGCTAACGGGCCTGAGCTCTTCTCCCGGAGACCCCTTTCCAGACGACCTCAAGAGTTCCTGTGAGGTGGGGCTGAAAACACGGATCTGGGGTCACACACATCTACGCAGAAATCCTGGCCCTTCTACTCACTATCTCAAGGAAGGAGCTAGAAGCGAGCTTGTTGCCTCCGCCAAACGGGGAGCACGAAGCACGAACCGGGCAGACGCACGCAGCCTCTCGGAAAACGGCCGTACGCCGGAACCGAAGTCCGCGCTCTAAGCATGGAACGAAGCGCCGACAGCAAGAGGCTGCTGAGCGGCACCCGACACGCGTCCATCTCGCCCGGCGCCAGGCCGCCGGCAGGAGTCGCAACGACCCGCTACAAAACCCACCCTGCGTCTAAGGATGCCCGGACTCCGCGGCCTCAGGCGCACAAAGCCCAGCATGGGGCCCAGTGGAAACAGGGACCACGCGAGGGCCGGCGCGGCCGAAACCCAGGGCGCAACCGGCCGCAGAAGCAACAGGGAAACACAGCGGCTCGGGGCTCCGGTCTCTCCGCGGCCGGCCACTGAGGCAGACTGCGCAGACCCGGCCGCGCGGCGGCGAGGCCGAGACCGGAACCGGCTGCTCAAGACGCGCGGAGGCGCGACCTCGGAAAGCGTGTTTGCTCGTCCGACTGGAGTCGGGGCCTGCCGCAGCCCCTCGGTCAGGAAGGCAGGGAGGCCTGGGCCCCCCCGCGCTCCGCCTACGGCTCTGCTCCGCAGTCCCCGCGGGCCGTCGGCCCTCTCCGGCCTCAGGCACCTCCGGCCGGGCCTAAGCCCACTTTCCGCCCTCAGGGCCGAGCACCCTCGGCCCCTCCAGGGCCCCCCGCCCCGGGCCCCGGCGCCCTCTCTGCCCCGCTCTCCCAGCACTGGGCCCCGGGCCCTCGGCGGCGCGCTCACTTCTTCGTGTAGAGCTCCTCCAGACGGTGCCACACGGAAGCCTGGCCGGGGCCGGAGCTCTGGCTCTGCTGTAAGAAGCCAGGAACGTCCTTCATGACGGCAAGAAGGCCGGGGCCGCTCGCACGACGGAGAGGGTAACCGCGGGGATGGCCGCCGGAAATGCTCACTCACTTCCGGCGCCGCGTCGCGCGAGGCAGGCCGGGAGCGCCCGGGCGGCCGCGGCGCGCACTGGTCGTCAGGGTAACGGCGCCTGCGCCGCGAGAGAAGATCGCTCCGGGGTTTGTGCCCGATTTCCCGCGCAGTCCGCCGCGCCATTCCACGGTACGAGGGCCTGGGGCCGGCCCGGCCTCCGACCCGCCTTACGGCCTCGGCCCTGGTGACGTGCAGGCTGTCATCTCGGATGGGGACCGTGGTGACAGTAGCGTCTGAACCGTGGCTCGCGAGGACGGACTGAGAATGCCGTGAGCGGCCGGAGCAAGTGCTCACAGAGTTCTCCTCCCCGACCCGGCTGAACCGGGTGGGGAAGTGGGAGAGGCGAGTGCCGGCGCCTGGGCCTGTCTCCGGGGCGAGAGGCGGGACCCCAAGGGGCTGGGACGCCGCCCCCGCCTGGCGTCCCTCCACCTGGGCTGGACTCGTGGCCCTTGGGGACAAGGTCGCGAGCGCGCGGCAGCGGCGGAGCGTGGACATGACCTGGTGGGCTCGATCTGCGCTTTCCGCCTTAAGAGCCTGGGGCCCGGCAGGTGAGGGGCCTCTCGGCGAGGCAGGGCGGCCGCAGGGGTGCGTCGGGGCGGGCGGGGCCAGGGGAGGCGAGCGCTCGGGCGCCCGCGCTGCTGGGGCTGAGCAGCGAGCGGGGTTCGGTCGAGGCGGGCGCCGGGGTCCGGTGTTCTCCTTGCGTGGTCGCGGGACACTGCAGAACTGGGAAACGCAGGGTCCCGGTTCACGCAGCTCAAAGGACAGTCCAGAGGTCAGCAGGGCCGCGGGTTCTCGGCTCTCCTCTGCACGTTTCGGGCGGGTGCGGGCGGCACTCGTGGGTCCTGTGGACAGTCGCTGCTGCCACTCAACTTTCAGAACGTATGTGCCTCCGCGGTCGTTCATGCGGACCTGCAGCATTCTCGTTTTTTCTTTGCGTGGCTGTTTTTATGCGAACCCCCACATCCACCCCAGCAAGCGCTCCCCCGACCCTGTCTCGCCGTCCCGGAAACGGCTAGAGCCGGGGGGAGGGACCTGTCACTCCGGTCCCGCAGGGGCAGGTCTAGGTGGAGCCGGGGCTTCGCGGTTGTTGACCGTTCAGACTCGTGCCGCCGCCTGTTTCCGCGGGGCACTGAGGGTCCCCCCGCCGACTTCCCAGGTTGGGCGCGAGCTCCAGGATTCCGTTCTACCGATCTAACCCTAACCCTAACCCTAACCCTAAGGTGTGTAATCGCTCTGTCCTGGAGACCCTTTGTGATCCGGTCATGACCGGTAACGCTGAGGGACGCTGTCTGTACTCACTTGGGGTCAACGCCTGCGTCGAATGGTGTGTGGGTTTTCATTGCCCTCGACAAAGACTGTGCAGTTCGCACTTCGCTAGCGTGTGTTCATACCCTTCTCGGCAGTACTTGTAGATTTTGGGATCTTTGCTGTTAACTTTAAAAATAAAAATTTGCCAAGAAAATGGGTGTGTTCAGGAATAGCAGAAAATGCAATCCAAGACAAGAAAGCTATGGCAAAACCACAGACAAGTTCCATAAACAGAAGACAGAAGTGCCCTTCGAGAGAGGAAAGGGAGTGGGGCTTGGAAGACCGTGAGAAGCGAAAAGTCCTTCGGAATGAACTGGGAACTGGAAGTATATTGGCTTCTCGTTGGCTGAGCAGCGCTCTCTTCGGCTGGGCTCTGCTCTCATTGGCCGAGCTATGGCTGACTCTCCTTGGCTGGGCTCTGCTCTCATTGGCTGAGGTGTGCTGTCACTGGCTGGGCTCTGCTCTCATTGGCTGGGCGGTCCGGATGGACGCAGGGGAAGGCGGAGGGCTGCGAGGAGTACGTGGCGGGCGGGAGAGCGCGCCCTGCCGGCCTCCGCTGCGCGTTGGCGAGGTCGCCTTCACTCCCGTCTCACTGCCTAGGAATTGGGCATGGGACTATCTCAAGACCCATAGTTGTTAAGAAACTGAAGTGTCCAGTAATGGATTATAATAATCGACTTGATGCCGCCTCGCACAGGTACTAAAAGTATTGTTGAAGAGTTTAATAGATCCAAGGGATCTTTCCTTCATTCCAGAAACCTTTACTGCACTGACCAGGGTCCCGGCACATTCTGACTCCACCTGCCTGAGGACAGCACCAAAGGACCCCGGCCCCTGAGACAGCCCCCGGTGGAGACGGCCCTCTGGCCCCTGAGACAGCCCCGGTGGAGACAGCAATCTGGGTGTCTCCCGTGCTACTGCTGACCAGCTGAGAATCGGAGGTCCCCACAACACCCTCCTCCGGGTCCATTCATTTGCACGAGCTGCTCACAGAACGGGGGAGACCAGCTGACAGAGTCGATCACGGGCTTCGTCCGCAGGATGCTCGAGGAACGGAGTGAACCGCCAGACCCAGAGATGCAGAGGGGGAGGTTGGCAAGGGTCCCTGGTCCCTTGTGCCTCACGGACCTTGGGGCCCAGGGGCCCGGCATGTGGTTCACCAGCCGGGAAGCCCTCTGAGCACCCCTCCTCTTGAGTTTTCTGGAGACTCCCACCCTCTAATCACAGTTGGTCTGCCCGGCACCCAGCCCCCATCCTTAGGGCCTTCCCAAAGTCCCCTCATGAACATTAACCCAGATGTGGTGCTGAGGGGCTGGTTAAGCAGAACAGGACACCCACTTCACCTTCATGGCTGTGAGGGGAGTTCAGGAACTGAGGACAGAGACCAACCATGGTAACAAAAGACATGCCCTTGGCTCTTAGAAGTTCCAAGGGTTTGAGGATGAAGACCAAAAACATTTATTATAAGTCACAATATCACAACTTCCCTTTAATTCCTTTTGTGTTTCTCATAATGACTTGCATGTAGGAGGAGCTCAGTAAACGTTGGGCGGAGACCGCAGGGGAAGAGTTGTTCTAGGTGCTGAGGGACACGGGGCCATTCCCAGCTGTGGGGACAGCCTGAGCATCTCTTCTCTTCCTGACCGTCTGGCCAGTTTTCACTGGAAAACTTCCTTTGGAGACTTACCACGTCACACTCAGAAGAACTGCTTGACGGGTGCTTTTACACAAGTCTCTGATGCAGCAGAACCCCCTTCAGGGTTGTGGGCATCTCTGCAGGAGTGTGGGGATGAGGGGGAAGCACTGTTTTCCCTGCTGTGTGTATTTCCTGTGTTTTCTGCTGGGAAGGATCTACAGCTGTAGGTCTTCTTGAGCAAGACTGTAAGAATCATTTTTTGGTCTTGGCGTTAGCTGCTGAGGCTCAGGGTGACAGAGTGACTTGATGAGACTGGCAGTGACCTAGGGCTCTGACTCTCCTTTGGGGGCCGTCGGCCCTGCACATACACCTTCCTTTGTCTTGTTCCTCTTTCTTTTGTACATACCTTTCAGAAATCTCTTCTTTTGAAAAACCAAGGTGATGCTCCATGCGGTGGGAGAGGCAACGGCACAAGCAAGTAGGCCGTGAGCCGCAAGCAAGGCCCCGACCCCCCGGGTGCAGTGTGCGAGGTGGCGGCAGGGTCGCCGCAGGGAGGGAAGGGCTGTCAGCCTTCCTAAGAGGAGCGGGGAATCAAACGAGCGCAAAGTGATTGTTCACTGGGGTTCAGCAGTGGCTTCACGAAGGAGGTGGCGTCACGAAGTCCTGGCCTTGACTGTGGGAGAGCTGGACATGCTGAGGTGGAGAAAGGTCTTTAAGGCAGAGGAAGCTGGGGTAGGACATACACAAGAGCCAGGCAGTCCTTTTGCTTGGCTGGAAGCAGGGGTATATAAGAGGGCAGGGTGGGGCTTGAAATTGTCACTGGGGTGGGACATGCTGTGCTGGGATGGGGAGCAGAGAGCTTCTGGGGACCCTCACTGCCCGTGTATCCCATGGGGGTGTCGATGCAGAGAGTGGGCAGTGTTGGTTTTGTAAGGAGCGAAAGAACACAAAAGACAGAGTCATCCTTCTAGAAGATTCGTGCTCCCGAATTGCTCGGATATGTATGACAACATGCTTTTGGGATGATGCTTATTTCTTGCCTAAACCACAAATGAGTAAAGGAAATGCTCCCCGTCTCCTGTTTTTACGTCTGTATTCATTTTAGATTCATCACTCATATGAGGAAGGTTCTGAGTTCCTTTTGTTGAATCTCTTTTCCCGTCAGGGTGGAGGAGTTTCTATACTGAAGTCAGAGACATCCTGGGGGAGGGTCATCAAGGGCCTTCTCCTGGAAGAACGGACATGGTGGCCACCAGTCTTTGGGGTGTGAGAATGGCCCCCGGCGCACTGGGGCTGGCAGTCCTGAACCCTGGGTGAGTTGTCAGCATGATGCCAGGAGATGAGGGAGTCATGCAGCCTGGTTAGATGCTGCACAGGGACCCCAACAGCAGATCAGTGAACCTAGGAAGCATTCCCAGGCCCACCGGAGGTGAGGCTCTGGTGCCCTGCCTCCCACGGCTGCGGACTTTCAGGGGGTGCTGTGGGCTTGGTATTACTCGCGCTGCTTTTGTTTCTTCCTGTTGCTTTCCTGGGTGTTGGGTCATTTTCTAAGTCCCGAGGCTCTGCTGAAGCTCGTGACTTGTACGTTGTGTCTCACTTTTTTTCCGATGGAAGATCATCCTGCATCCCTAGCACTCAGCCGTGGGAGTGTCTCGGCTCCTGGCTTCTGGGGGTGACTCGAGAAGCCTTCCAGTGTTTCTCAGAGAGCCTGAGCTGAGTCTCCCCACTGCCTTGTATTTTTTTTTTTTAATTATCTATTTATTTGAGAGAGAGTGAGAAAAAGAGCACAAGCAGGGAGAAGGGCAGAGAGAGAGAAGCAGACTCCCAGCTGAGCAGGGAGCCCCATGTGGGCCCGATCCCAGGACCCAGAGATAGTGACATGAGCCACAGGCAGACACCCACTGACTGAGCGCCCCGGGGGGCCCCAGCCCCCAACCCACTGCCTTGTCTTGGTTGTGGGATTCCTTCGGTTGCTTCATAGTACCAGCGGTGGCGAACATTGAAGATCAGGTTTCTACAGTAGTGTGGAGCCTTAGCAGTCAGGGCGCGAGTGTTTCTGGAATAGTCTCCAGAACCCACTTTTTCTACTGATCGTTTTTGGTGTAAAGTCTGAGACATTTGGCTTTCTTTAAGTGTCACTGCCCGTCTGTCACACCCAGGTGTGCTAAGTGTATGCCCCTGCAGAGAGCACACCCAGAACCCCACACAGCTCCCACACCTCTGGTGTGGACCATGTTCTCTTCGCACTCACACTGGACAGTAGAATTAAGGGACCATACATTCCTTATTTGCACAGTTCCAACTGACTTGAATTTTTTGCTCCCAAATAAGTTGTGATTTCTGAGTTGAGACTTCTTTCTCTTGTAGCCCAGTAGTCATCCGTGATGAGAAGGGTGGTCATCTGTGGGGAGGAGAGGGAAGTGTATAATCGGTCTCAGTGGTGGGGGTGGCGGGAGGGCCAGCATGAGCTTACCTGTCCCTAGTCACCCGGCCACTCTCCTTTTCTGTCAGCATTGCAGGTGGAAGAAGACCCATATCTTTTTCTGCTGGTGCCTCGAGCGTCTTTGGAAGAGGAGGCAGCAGTAGGAAGGAGAAGCTTTTTCTGCAGGACATAGCGGAGCTGATCCAAGCCAGAGCCTGCCAGAGGGTGGTGGTCATGGTGGGCGCCGGCATCAGTACGCCCAGCGGCATTCCGGACTTCAGGTGCCTTGCAGCGCCCGGCTCTTTCCTGGGCACCTGGGCTGCCTCCTGCCCCACCCTCTTGCTCTGGGTCAGAGCTTGCTCCTTTTTGCAGGTCTCCCAGGAGCGGCCTCTACAGTAACCTGCAGCAGTACGACCTCCCGTACCCCGAGGCCATTTTTGAGCTCGCTTTCTTCTCTCACAACCCCAAGCCCTTTTTCACTTTGGCCAAGGAGCTGTACCTCAGGAACTACAGGCCCAACATCATACACTACTTCCTCCGACTGCTGCACGACAAGGGCCTTCTTCTGCGGCTCTACACACAGAACATCGATGGGCTGGAGAGAGGTGAGCCCTCCTCCTGTCGCCACCTGGTCACCTGCTTCTAGGCAGTGCTTACCCCATCCTCCGATTTCAAGCCCATTAGTTACACCTTTGTCCCTGACAGAAAGTCCCCCGTGTGTTTAAGAGTCACTGTGGAGATCTCCCTGGTGGACCTGATGTCCTGGCCTACTGGCTGGGCTGTGAGTTTTGGAAAGGGTTAAAGTTGACATTGGGAGCTTCTAGTTTAGCTAATCTGATATAATGATTTCTTTTTCAAGAAATTTATTATGAACTTTTTCGAGCACATACAAGTAGAGGACTGTGGTGAGCCCTCATGCCCTCGTCATAGCCGGTCCTTCCTTTGTCTGTGTCTTGCCGCCCCCCCGCCCCCCCACCTCTCTCAGCCCCAGTTATGTTGAAGCGCGTCTGTCCGTGATGTCATAAACTTAACCTGTAAACGACCTGTAGGTACTTCATTGGGTGTCTGGGGAAGATAAAGACCTTTAAGACGTAACTACGATGTCACTGCCAAGATGACCACTAACCCTTAGATCATCAGACTCTTTGTATAGCGATGTCCTGCCTGCCCCGCTAGCGGCCCTGACCAGTGACTCACGGATGGTCCTGACGCGGACTGTGCATTGCAAGAGGCACTGGCTGAGCCTTTCTCTTAGGGCAGTGGCGCTGACAGGTGCTGTGAGCCGGCAGCAGCTCGGCTGGGCCACAGACACCTGGTGGTTTGAAAACCGGAGTGGCCTGGACAGCACTTAGCAGCCACGAACACCCGTGGGGATGACCTCTCCTTCTGGAGCTGTGGCAGGACAGGCCTTGTGGGAAGGTGGGAGCGTGTGGCCGTGGGCTTTCGCGTGTGGAGATTTAGGACAGTAATGGGGACAGTAGGAAGCCACTCGCAGCTGGGACTGTCTGCCTGTCACAGCTCCGAAGCTGACTGTGGAAACAGGTAACTGTCATAATAAGGTACCTCTGTTTTTCTACATTTTTTTCCCCTTGTTAGTACAGTATTTATTTGTCTTCCCTCTGTCAAACCCTGAGCCAACCACTTTCCCCAGGCTGCCTGGGGAGGGTTAGGAAAAGGAACACACAGGGCAGACAAGATGCGGGAGAAAAACCTATGGGAGGTGGAGACGGCTCCTTCACATGGCGAAGAGGGTGAGAAAGGCCGCTGTCCAGCGGCTGCTGTCCCTCTGAGAGGGCAAAGCCCAGAACGGTGTGGGAGAAGAGCTGTTGCTTCAGAGAAGGCTTCCTGGCCCAGCCAGGGACGAGGCTTCCGAGCGCAGTCCCACTTCAGCCCCAGGGCCGGCCACCCCTACTGTGGGAGCCTCAGCCACTGCGCGGATGTCCCATGAGACGGCGTGGTTCAGAAGCTGCGGGGGGACGAAGTGAGGTCAGGGCTGTGGCGCTGCCTCTGAAGCTTTTCTCTGTCAGCGTCCCCGGGGGGTTTAGTGCCGATGCAGACAGCAGTGGGCTCAAGAGCTAGCAGGTGCTCCTGGCCAGGAAGAGGCTGGGGACGACCTCGGCACAGGATGAGTGGCTGTGGCAGGAGAGCTGCTCCCTGTGCGGAGAAGACAGAGAGGGGCGGGGCGGGGCGGGGTGGGGTGGGTGGTGCTCTACAGTTTTTATATATTTTTTGAAACTTATTGTCTTCATGTAGTTTTTTTTTTGTTTTTAATTTTAAGATTTATTTATTAGAGAGAGAGAGAGCAAGCAAGCACACATGTGCCCGTGGGGGGAGGAGCAGAGGGAGAGGGAGAAGGAGCATCTCCAGCAGACCCTCCTCTGAGCGCAGGGCCTGCCTGCCTCGGGGCTCGATCCCAGGACCCGGAGACCGCGACCTGAGCCGAAATCAAGAGTCAGATGCTCAATGACTGAGCCATCCAGACATCCCTATATAGTTTTTTCACTTTTCCTTGGTGTCTGTAGAGTAGAAAATGTTTTCCTAGGTATCAAATGTAAGCTTTTCTGCACTTACATCAAGCTTGTTGGCAGGCTTTGTTTAACCATGATTTGGCTCCACCTGGGAGCCCTCATCCTTGCGCTTACTCCGCTCAGGGGGACATTATCTTCAGGTGGTGGAGGTGGCGACCCCAGGCTTGCACTGAGGGCTGGGACTCTGGCAGGGGCCTCCTGGCTGAGAGCTGATCCTGGAGCTGGTGGCTCTGAGCTGTGGTTTGAATTTCAGTGTCTGGCATCCCTGCCTCGAGGCTGGTTGAAGCTCATGGATCCTTTGCCTCTGCCACGTGCACTGTCTGCCGAAGGCCCTCTCCGGGGAAGGACATTTGGGTGAGTTGTCCTGATGCCCCTTCTCTCTCTCCTGCACTTCGTGGTGGGAGTGATGGGAAAAGTGGCATTTTATAAGCATCGCCTTGGAAGGACATCAGTAATGGTGTGAAACGTTTTTCTTTATTTTTAAATTGGAAAAGTAATACACACTTGTAAAACACTAAGAAATGTGGAGGGGAAAATGCATCTCCCTTCAGCCTCTTCCTATAGCCCACTTGTAATGGTTTGATGTATAATGCTCAAGCCTTTAAAAAAAAAAAAAAAAAAAAGCATACCAAACATACTTGGCCGTATCAGTGTACCTACACCACAGAGTGACTATACTGTTTTTAGTAATAGGATTACTAAGAATTTTAAAAATTTATTTATTAGAGAGAGAAGGAGAGAGCGCGAGTGGGTGGAGGGTGGCAGAGGGAGAGAGAATCCTAAGCAGACTCCCCACTGAGGGCAGAGCCCAATGTGGGGCTCGATCCCATGACCCTGAGATTATGACCTGAGCTGAAACCAAGAGTGCGACACTTAACTGACTGAGGCACACAGACACCCCAGTAATAGGGTTGTTAAGTTTAATATTCTACAAGCTGCTTTGTCACAGAACCAAATTGTATGGATATCTTGTGTCCGTAAGTACAGGTCTGCTTGCTGTTTTTAGTGATTTATATTAAATTCAGCCCTTTACCCACTGTGGGGTATTTTCTGATGTCTGTGATTTTTGCTATTAGGAATAATGCGTCCATGACACTTGTGCTTGTATCCTTTGTCCGTCTGGGGGTAGTTCTGTAGGATGGGTTTCTTCAGGCTGAACAGGATAGACTGGAAAATCTTAAATAAAGATGAAACTCGGAAATAATTGCTGAGGCATAGGACCCTGTCTTTTATTTTTTAATGAGGTCAGATTCACAGAACTGTCAGATTAACATCTGAAGTGCACAGTTTGTTGGCACTTGATACATTCCCAGTGTCGTGCCACCACTGCCTCTCTCTGATTCTAGAACATTTTCATCACCGCAGAGGAAAGCTCTGTACCCCCAACCAGTCAACCCTCCCGACAACCCCTGGTGAACACTGGCCCTTCTCCAGAAGTTCCGAGCTGGAGTCATATACGTGTAGCCTTTTCAGTCCCACTTCCTTCACTTGGTCAGATGCCTTTAAGGTGCCTCTGTGTCTTTTCGTGGCTTCGCAGACCACTTCTTCTGAGTGCTGAATAATATTCCCTTGTCCGGATGGACGACGGTTATCTGCTCATCTACTGAAGGGCATCTTGGCTACTTCCGTGTTTTGGCAGTTATGAACAAAGCTGCTGTAAACCTCCCTGTGCGGGCTTTTGTGTGGACGTGAGTTTTCGGCTCTTTTGGTAAATACCAAGTGAGAGCGTGTTTAGTGCCTTCTGACGCGGCCGCCCCAGTTTGCCTCTCCGGGCAGTGAATGGGAGCAGTGTTTGGTGTTGTCCGTGTTCTAGACTTTGGCCGTGGTGGTAGGTGGGTGGGGGTCCTGTTTGCGCTCGTGTACAGTTCCATGAGGACACGCTATGTGGAGAAGCTTTTTAGGTGCTCATTTGCTGTCTGTACCTCTTTGCTGGTGAGCTGTCTATTTGGGTCTTTGGCCGATTTTGTAATTCAGTTGCTCATTTTCTTATTGTGGAGTTTTAAGAACTTTTTTTGTATTATGGATAACGGTCCTTTATCAGATGTCTTTCGTAAATATTGTCTTCCCACTTTCTTGACAGTGTCTTTCACAGAGCAGGGTTTTTAATTTTAATGAGGTCTAACATACTATTCTTCCGTGAATTGTGCCTTTGGTGTTACCTCTGAAGCATCATTGCCAACTCCTGCCCTAGCCCTTTGTAATGGCAGCGGAAACAAAGGGCTGGGGGGCTGGTTGTTTAGGGGCCGACATTTGCTGGAGGTGAAAATTGAGAGCGGTCGTGGTCTTTCTTTTAGGTGAGTCATCTAGGATGCCAGCGAGCTGGTTTTCCAAATTAACTAAGTCTGGATTGGACAAAGTTTCCTATGAGATGATGGTTCGGCTCATTAGTAATGGAGTTAAAGGCTACCTGGGTGGATTTAGCATCTAGAGGAAGAATTTTCTCTGAGGACAATGTGGAGTCATGAGCAGGTTCATCGGGCTTCTCTGAGCAAGCCTGAGTCTGTTCCAGTCAGCAGGCTCAGAAAAGGGTCCTGTAGTTGCTCGATGTTGCTTGCAGCCCTCTCGGGAGCTCCCGGGTGTGATCTGAAATCTGCCCCCATTGGCGGAGGGCAGGGACAGACTGAGGAGGTGGCCACTCCAGGTTCATAGGTGTCCGTTCTAATCATCAAGGGAACTGACATACAAGGCTTGTCCCGGGCAGCAGCGGGACGGCTGGATCCCCACATCTGACTCCAAATCTTAAAAAGTTCATGAAGAGGCCGTAACTGGGCCCAGCCCTGTCTACTCTGCATGTGTTCTCAACACCACACCACATCACCTTCTCAAGGCCGCGTCCTTGGAGCAGCCTCTGCGGGGGGTGGGGGGGGGACACACAAAGGGAACCCACGATCCGACGATGCAGGAACGGAGTGAGGAGCTTCCAAGTGCTGGGGTCCAGGTCACAGGTCACAGGTCAATTGGGGGTCACATCTCTTTGGTGACCTTCCCCAACATCTGGAGATTTCCAGCGAGTGTTCTGGTACTTTGCCCAAACTCAGGCATCTGTTTCTCTAAATCCCTTTCAGGCTGCTCTCATTGGGCTGGTTTTATCCAGCGTTTGGCCTGACCCTCACCAGCAAGCATATGGACCCATTGACATAAATCTGAGAAATCAGATCAGTAAGTTTGAATGACCGTGTTACGTTCTTCAGCAAATTCCGGGGGTCCTCAGTCACTTAAGGACACTCTTGCAGTATGGCTCGGAATTCAGCCTTGGTCCAGGCAACACAAGCAACCTGGTGTTCACCCGGGCCCCAGCAGAGTGAACTTCAGAGGCGGCAGGTGTGAACAGGGTCAGGAGACGGAGGAGGCGGGTGGGGAGAGGTCTGGAGGTAAAGGGAGGCTCAGCGGAGGGTTAGAATGAGTGGTGGGTAGAAGGGAGGTGGGGACTGTGCCGAGGGAAGAGGAAAAAGGCCCCAGAGGTGGGACCTGAGCGCAAGACCTGTGGGAGACAAAGAAGGTGGGGAAGGCCGGACTCAGAGGCTGTGTTGACTTCTTTCAGTTGTTTGCCTCTTTGGAAAATGCTCTTTCTAAGTTAACGAACCAAAGAGGGGAGCAAACTTTGAACCCTAAAATGTTTGGAAGCCTCAAGGTACCAACTAAAATAACATGGCTGTCCAGTTCAGTTGTGAGAAGAGTGAATTTGGGGAGATGGCGCATTCCCCACCATGGCCATCGAAGTTGTAAATTACTTTTGGTGGAGTCCGTCCATTGAGTTAAGAATGCACATGAGGAGGGACCACAGTTTTGAAACCTAGAGCAAGCTGGGGCCCCAGAAGTATGGGAGTGTGGGGGCAGTGGTGTCCTCGAAGCGTTTGATCCCCAGGACCCCCTCTCCGAGAGGCTTTTCCCTAGAGGGAAGAGAAAACTTTCCAAACAGTACAGTTCCGGTAGGAGCAGCCTGGCTTTAGGAAGGAGTCAGACCCAAGGTCAAGCGAGTACTCAGAAAGGACAATGCTGTCTAAAGGTCTCGAATAATGCCTGGAGAGCTCAGAACACAGCCCAGGAGAGAGCTCACCCTTGACCCCAGGCTCGGTGAGAGAGCTGCAAGCCCAACTGGGTCTGTGGGGCCTGGCCCCTGTTTGCTCGCAGCCTCAGAGCCTCTGGGGGCAGCGCCTGCATCCCACTTCTGACACCAAGTCATGTTTTCCTTAAAAGCAAATCTGCCTTTAGCAAAATGGACTTATTGAGGAACAGTAGAAAAATGCAGTTTGGGACAAGCAAGCTACAGCAAAACTAGGCAAGTCCAAAAAACAAAGGAGAGAAACATTTGATGGAGAAGAGGGAGGGAGTTGGGAGGGGCTGGAGAAGCAGTTCAGGGGAAAGATGGTGTCTTGCTAGCTGTCACTGGGATGGTTGATTTGTTGTAGACGGTGGTATACATCTTCCCCTGTTGGGACCTGCCTTGATGGTTCTTTGCTCTTGAGGGTTCTTCTGTTGGGTCTGTAATTCACAATTCTTCATGTGATTGGTGGTGAGTAGTAGGGTTCCTTCCAGCCTCCTGAATCCACATTAGCAAGGTCTCCCTTTATTAATTTTCATAACGTCTGGCACCATTTGTTGAAGAGATGAGATTTGCTCCTTTGTCAAAGATCAGTTGACTGTGCAAGTCTACTTCTAGGTTCTCTGTTGTGTCCCACTGGTATTTCATCTGTTCTTACAGTCATGCCACAGTCCTGAGTCCTGTAGCTTTTTATACTAAGTCTTTTTTTTTTTTTCAAAGATTATTAGAGATCACAAGTACACAGAGAGGCAGGCAGAGAGAGAGGAAGGGAAGCAGGCTCCCTGCTGAGCAGAGAGCCTGATGCGGGGCTCGATCCCAGGACCCTGGGATCATGACCTGAGCCGAAGGCAGAGGCTTTAACTCACTGAGCCACCCAGGCGCCCCTTTATACTAAGTCTTGACGTCTTCTCCATCATTCTGTGTGTTGGGTATCCTGCTCTTTCCGTATAAACTTAGGATCAGTGTGTCACTGTCTGTTCTTTGCACCTTTGTCACCTCTTTTCTCTGTGGTTTGGAGTTTTGCACTTTTACTGTGTTTTGCACTTTGGAGTTTTGCACTTTTACTGTGGTCTATCTCCTTATGGATTTCCTTTTGTTTACTTATTCTGCTGTAAATTTGTAGGGCTTTCTGAATCTGTGGTTTGAGACCTTTCATCATTGCTGGAAAGACCCTTAGCCATCATTGCCTCTAATGTCTCTCCCACTCCCTCTTCTCACTTGTGGAGCTTAAACTCCCACGATACCTTCTCAGGCTCCCACCTGTGGCTTTTATGTGTGTTCTGGCTTTCTTCTCTGTGCTGTATTGTGAATAATGTCTTTTGATCTGTTTTCCAGTTTATCAGCCTTCTATTCTGTTGTTCAGAGTAAAGCTCTTCCACTGAGTGCTAATTCTTCTTACTTCTTGTTTGTTTGTTTGGAAAAGGTTTAATGAGATGCAAAACCTCAGTCAGCAGTAGGCTCATTTCCAGGTCTGAATTACTGGCCCCATTTTTTTCTTCCAAGTTTTTATTTAAAAACTAGTTAGTTAATATATAGTGTAGTAGTGGTTTTAGGGGCACAATTTGGTGATTCATCATCTACCTACAGTACCCAGTGCTCATCACAAGTGCCTTCCTAATTTTTGGTACTTCTTATTACTGGAAGTTCTCTTTGGTTCTTTTTCAAATCCACTACATTATTTTTTATAGTTTTCTATCATCATCAGATGCTTCAAAGCTGTCTTATTTTGTTTTAAAGCACTGAACACAATTTCGCTTAATCTGTATCTGATGGTATCTGAAGTCTGAGTAACTCTCTTTGGTTGGCTGTCTCTGCTTGTTCTGGTTAGGCTCAGCTTGCTAAGCTGAGGCCAGGAAAGTTTGTCTTAGGAAACTGATGTCCTCTTTCTTGGGCTGCCTCCTCTGAAACCCAGCCCAGCACATCAACGCAGGCTTCTTAGGACGTAGTGGTGGTTTGTGTCCACCTCCCCATGGCCTGCGGGAAAGTGGTCTATCGTAATGGTCCTCAGAACTTCAGCCTGAATGTCTGCCAGGCCTAGGACGATGTCATGATTGCTTTAGCTAAAGTCGGGGACAAATTTTATATCACCTTTCACATTGAATTATGCCTAGTGGAGGCCACATGCCTGTAGAGTACCTCCTGAGGGCTGTGTCATCTACTGAGTATTTCCTTGGCATCTGAACGGCTCTGATAACCGCCCCAGGTGCACAGCTTCCTGTGACACATGTGGCATGTCCTGTGCCTTCAGGACCCGCTCTCGAGTACTCCACCCGGCCTCCAGTTTTAGGGTGCTCTGTGAATCAAAATGGGCAAAGCTGGGTTCATTATTCAGTTGTTGTGAATGTTTGAAAATTTCTTAGTAAAGGCAATCTTTTTTTTTTTTTTTAAGTTTTTACTTAAGTCCTAGTTATGTAACATACACTGTTGTGTTCGTTTCAGGTGTACAATTTAGTGACTCACACGTCCATATGTCCCCCGGTGCTCGTCACAGCAGTGCCCTCCTCTGTCCCCATCCCCCAGTCAGCCCGTCCCGTGCCCCCTCCCCTCTAGTCGCCATGAGTTTGTTCTCATGTTGTTAGTTAAGAGTGTTTCTTGGTTTGCCTCTCTCTCTCTCTCATTCTGTTTCCCTTGATATTAAGAGCCAGCTTTTTTTTTTTTTTTTTT